TCACAGAATTACCTTTTTGCATGGTTTGTGAAATTGAATTTGAATATGTGTCTGACTGTGGGGACTTTGCCCAGGGCATATCATCCTAGAAAGTAAGAAAGAAGTTTATCAAGTGTAGCGGTTAATTTTCATAGCAGTGTAAAATTCCCGAGTCTGTAAAACGTTATAGCAGCGAAACTTGTCCAATAGTCGGCCACACATTTCCTACAGGAGAGATGCACAGGCCTTGAGTTGACTTGGTCTGATTCAATGGCGAGAAATCAATGTAATTACATTATTACCGGGAATGGGGCACGCATTGATCTTATTAAAGAAGACACTCTTCCCCTGGTATCTCGGGGTTGCAGGAGCGTGCGGCTCAGTGGTTAAGTAACTTCTAATCAACAACTTGCATGCTCGACCCTCAGTTGCTGCACCACCTGCGAATGGATATGGCTGGCTGATGACGGCTAATACGCCAGAAATGGTTATTCCAGTCTCCATTTTCTTTGTCAGTAATGCTATTCTGTCTATAGTAGCCGGGCCGCTGTGTGGCTGCTGGAGGGACTCGAGAGGGATCCCCAAGGCACGATGTGTCGAGTGAGCTCCCTAACCGATCATGAACCGCCTAGCTCCCATTGTTAATATTCCCGATTAAAACCGGCGCATTAAGTTGGGGCTTTTGACTTCTAAGCAATTGATCACCGGTTCGAGCCTCAGGAGTTGCAACAGCTGGAGGTTGGTGTGACTGGCTGATGACGGCTTGCAGGGCAGGAATGGCCATTACAGTCACCCTGGTCGTTCTTGGTAGTATATTTTGCCTACAAGTTACATTTTTTGGGTATACCAGGTTTCGGAATATTAGCGGTCCTGGATCCACACCGAAACTACCAGTAGCATGACTGCATCGGGTACCCCTGCCCTATCCTTCCCCCCTACCAAATCAGTCGATGCTGGTTATGATGCTTTTTACTTCACCAGAGGGAGTTGCAATGACTGTGCCAATATGGTCTTTTCTTTTTTCTGGAATCTAGGTCATTGTGATCCCCACCGAATAAGGGGACGGCGGGGTGCGATTAATAAATGTCAATCTTTGCAGTGGCAATATTTTCATGTATTGCATGCAGTTATCAAGCCAATGTAAGACCGCCTATTGACTACGCTCGAACGCATCTTCGAACCTTGCCAGTACTGGTTAGTATTTTGTAATAACGTCTTGCGTAGGTCAATAAATCCCCTCTCAGTGACTCGTGGGCCAAGAGTCTCGTGAATCACCTGGTTTCCACTTTCTGCAGTGATTCCAACTGCATCCAGCTTGAACCTACTGTTTAGTCTTTTAAAATTATTAGCACAAAATAAGCTGCCTGGTACTCTGGGTCCGCATCAAGGGGGGTTTGAATCAGTCCACAAAAAATATTGTTTAGCCTCACTTGCTCATCAGGGAAATCCGGTGGTGCGAACTCTTCGTCTCCTCCCATGAAAAACGTTGTTGTGGGCCCGGACTGTGAGAAGTGGCTGTCTACATACTGTTTCCACTTTGTGTCCTCATCTCCACTATCATCCTCAGCAGAGATTTGGGAGG